TAGGTGCTGCAGGGGATAGGAGGGAGTGCTGGCAACCAATGCTATGAGGATGGCTGCCACAGCCTAAATTCTTTAGAATGTTACCAGAGTGTTTTAGTATGTAGCCAATAGAGCTTGGGCCTTTATGGACTACACCGAGTTGCTGGCTTGATGTTAGTATGGATCTGCCGGCAACAGATGGCCCATAAGAAGCCTATGGGAGAGTTCACCACTCTCAGACATTACCAGCCATTGTAGAGTGCCTTCTCCTCTTCTCTGACGATGGCACTGGCAGACACAGGAAAGATCATGTGACTTGACCTGAGCAGCCTGAGAATAGGTAAGTGTATACATTTTTCACACAGGTTAGTTAGTATGTTAGATGTTAGGAGAGGGGAGGGAGCATTTTTAAGCACAAGCCTGGAATTCTATTTTCAATGAAAATTTATTGAAACTGATGAAGTAAATAACTCAATTAAAAAGCCATGTTAGCTGCAGCACCACTGTAATGTGGCCTATATTATAGATATCTACTGAAGATCTATGAAGTAAAGAATTAATCTATATGGTCACTGAAGTGGTTTACTTGTTTCCTCTTTGTTTTGAGCATTTTGACCACAGATTTGATTTTATCATCTAATGACTTCAAACACAACAAACTATGCCATGCAAATATAGCTAGTGGTTGCACTTGAGGTGATTTACTGAACCAACATGTCATTTGTACTCAGACAAAATGATGAATTCTATTCAAATGGCCACCTGTAAAAAATAAAGCTGCCATCTTCCTATGTGTGTCTTCAGTGATGCTGAACTCTCATCTAAAGAAAGCATTTTAATGACAGAAAAAATATTTTCTGTTGGTTAATAAAACACATGAGTTTGAACATAGGCATTCCTAAAATGCAAAACTTCACCATCAAAATTCCATGTATTTTATGACTTAATTACCATTACAAGCACATATTTTTGTGTGTATGTCAAGAAATATGGTAAGTCAAATATATAGCTACTTGAACTTCAATTAAATAAGCATAGTGCAACCATGGTATGCGTTAATCCATGAAAACCAACTTCTAGATCTAGAACTTCTAGATCAGGGTTTCCCAACCAAGGTTCCATAGAACTCTGGAGTTCCTCCAGAGGTTGCTAGAGTTTTCTTTTAAATTTCTGCCCTCTGACACCTTTGATCTTTTTAACTACCTGTAAGGAGTTGATTCTTCCAAATAACCACAAGTGTAAGGAGCATTCTTCCCACTGTCCATCATATAGTCAATTTTAGCAGGGGTTCCCTGAAATTGGAAACTTATTTCAAGGGTTTCGCTGTGCTGAAAAGGTTGAGTAAAGCTGCTCTAGATCTTAGTCTCCCATTGTACTCTGAACAAATGTAATCATTTTCTTTACTGTGATATTCCAACTGTAGATACATGGAAGACTATGAGAATTCAGTTGACAGCTGTAGATATACCGAAAGGCAACTAGCATTACTGGATACAGTGAACATTAAACTAAAGGTCTGTTAACACCTGTATGCCTGGAGTAAAGTTAAATTACAGCGCACATTAATACATAGGTTTTAACTTATATTTTTGCAAGTGCATTTCTTACGGTATTACAATTTTCATCTTCGGTGTTGTTCTTATTTAACACCAGTCTGCTAGATTTTTAATACACCAATCTGCCATTTTTATTTCTTTAAAACAAAATGTTCCTTTCTGCAAGCTGAAGTTGTTAAAATGACCCCATACCAATCCACTACAATACTGCTGGTGGGAATAGCTTTTGTTTTAGTGTCTTTTTTTTTTTTACTTACTTACTTTACTTTCTACTTATATCTTGAAGCCCTACCTGTAGTTCTTTTAGGTCAAAATCAAATGACACTGCATGGTACAGGTGAAAGCAGTAATTGAGCTACTGATTCTATCCAGAAAACACAGCAACTGCCAATTCAGAAGGTTATCTCAGTTCACTGCAAAGCAGAGCTCCACCCTTAATGGGGAAGTTCCGCTTTAAGGACTGGTTCCCCACTCCCCGTGAAGGATTGGCACCTTTGGGGAGCGGGAACGCGAAATTGAAAGGTGCTCACTTTCACTGCGATCGTCTAGGCAATCGGAAGCAGAAGTTGTCCTCCCCCCGTAGTCTTTTGGGACACATGACAGGTTCCAGAAGACTATGGGACCATTCGCAAAGTGCAGCGCTACTCGTGCATGCGCAGTGGGCACAAGCTGCAAGCTGTCACAGACGGGTGCCCACACTGAAGATGTCGAAGCCAGGAACACAGGTCTGCTGTGCAGGGGGACACCGTGGTATCGAGGGATAGAATTTCAGCTTTTAAATACAGTGCTGATGGGCACATATTTCATGCTGCTAGTGCACCCAGAGGAAAGATGTAGGTAATAAGGATTTTTGTGCAACTTAATTCATCCGGGGGGTAACTAGATTTGTTATACCCCACTAAGCTAAAAAAGCTCCAAAATTCATTGCAGTGCAACTGATTAATAAATAAGGATAAACATACATACACCATTTTTTAAAAACACCTTTATTATGCATTGCCTTGAAAAGGTACTCATACCCCTTTTAATTTTCCACATTTTTTCATGTTACAACCAAAAACGTAAATGTATTTTATTGAGATTGTATGTGATAGACCAACACAAAGTGGCACATAATTCTGAAGTGGAAGGAAAATGATGGATGGTTTTCAAAATTTATTACAAATAAATATGTGAAAATTGTGGCGGCATTTGTATTCAGCCCCCCCCCCCCCAAGTCAATACTTTGTAGAACCACCTTTAACTGCAATTACAGCTGCAAGTCTTTTGGGGATGTCTCTACCAGCTTTGCACATGTAGAGAGTGACATTTTTGCCCATTCTTCTTCGCAAAACCTATATTTTGGTTTCCACTCTCTGAAGGCAGTGGTCACATAGCCCTGGCTTCACAAATGCAACATCACCATTGTCTTCAGGGGGATCTCATATATATATATATATCTGATTGTTTACTTCCAGGTAGGGGGCACACACACACGCCCTGACCCAGCTGTGCTGTCACTGGCTGCAGCACATGTCGATTTATGGCTGGTAACCACCATCCGTTGGAGCGGATGACAGGAGAGAGATCTGTGTTGGTAAACAACACAGATCTCTGTACTGACTGCAGGGTTCGGAGATATTCTGTTTTTTGTCTCTGTGCAAAGCAGGGAATAAAAACTGTCACATCCCTTAGTAAAATCAGCACACAGTAAACTCAAGAATAATTAACCTTTAGCCCACAATTAACCCTTAGATTGCCCCAGATGTGACCCCTTCCTATCCAGTGTCTTTATTACTGTGACAGTGCATATTATTAGCAATGATCACTGTATTTGTGTCTGATGATGTCAAGGTCAGTTATTGTCAGATTGCCTGTCACACTATCACAGTCCCGCTATAGGTCGCTGATCGCCGCCATTACTACTATAAAAAAAATAATAATTCCTGTATATATACGGTAATTTGTAGACACTATAAATTTTACGCAAACCTAATATTATACTTTTATTGGGATTTTTTTTTTACCAAAGACATGTAGCAGAATACATTTTGGCCTAAGTATATGAAGAAATTAAACTTTTTAAATTTTTCATTGGATATGTTTTATAGCAAACATTTTAATTTAAAATTTAAAAAGATATTTTTTTTCAAACATTTTTGGTATTTTTTAATTTATATAATAAAAAATGAAAAACCCAGTGGTGATCAAATGCCACCAAAAGAAAGCTCTAGGTGTGTGAAAAAAATGTATATAAATTTCATTTGTGTACAGTGTTGCATGAGCATGCAGTTGTCAGTTAAAATAGCACAGTGCTAAATAGCAAAAATGGCCTGGTCATGAGGGGGGTAAAATCTTTTCAAGGGGTTAAAGTGGTATTAAACCCAAACAAAAAATGTATTATATTGCAGCTTACCAATCATCAGATGTGGTGGTGGCTGCATCAGTTTTCTTTTCTTTGGCTTTTTTCCCTCTGTTTTCACCTGGAGATCTGTCCAGTGACACACCTCCTGTATTAGTGAGACACCACTTTAGAGGAATGAGCCAGGACACAGAGGACAGCAGCATTGTCAGTCTGGGGGTGATGGGAGTGTTAAATGTGTTAGCAGATTTGAATACAAATAATGAATTGAAGCCATATTCCAGCTCACACTTGATAATCAGTTGCAGAAAACAGTTTTTCCTCTTGGGATAAAGGTTTTACATGAATAAATAAAAGCTGATCCTTTTAAATGGGCAGTTTCATCCATGTAAGCTGATATATTCTGTTGAAGAGCTTAAATTTCTGAAGAACAGCAGAAGAAAAAAGCCAAAAAAGAAACTAATGCAGCCAACACATGTTAGAATTGGTAAGCTGCAATATAATAAATGGGTTTGGATTTAATACTGCTTTAATTGCAGTTATTTTCTGATATGTAGATGTTGCTTCTGTAAAAAAAGTCAAGTGTCCTTTCACAAAATGTTTTCTTGTTTTCTCCTACTGTTTGGGAATGTAAGTTTATGCAGCATTGAATATTATTGGAATAAGTTGCTGATAGTTATGCAGTATGCATTACAATCTAACAGGATAAGACAGTTTCATCAGTTACGTGTGTCCTAACTTCACACCTGCTTCTTATTTCACTGCACATAATATTGCCAACAAACCCAGATACATTTTTTTTTCAATATACCCACACTGCATATAAATTAGTATTTTACTGCATCATGTTGAAATAGTAATAACTGAATAAACCAGGAACTTTTTACATTCCTGAATTTCAAATTCCACTTTCACTAAGTTTAAATGCACTAAGCTGTAAAGCACGTCTTTGTTATTGTGACTGTCAATTACAAATCACATTGCTGAAAATTACAGTCATTATGGTTGATAATGGTCCTAATATTTCAATGACTTGAGTTTGTAATGTATTCATTTCTGAGAATGTTATTTAAGAAAAGATTGCCACCACAATTATATTTTGTTTAGTTTAAAGTGTTACTAAACCCAGGACCCTACATTCACTATATCTGGTCTCCCATAGTACACAGAACATGGAAATGCAATTATTTTTAGTAAATATAAACTGCTAAATACCTTTTCTCATCAGCAGTTAGAACAGTCTTGTGACTTCAGCAGAGCACTGGTTAAAGCTTGTAGAAGGAGTTTTCAATCAGCTCTAGAAGGAAAATAAAGCGGGACTCGGTGAGCGCTTAATAATGGAAGAAGCTGGTACACTAAAAAGGAAACCTTCTAAAATAACTAGTACAATTGTAAAAGTGCAGCGCTTGTAATAAAACTGGATAAATAACTGGATAATACCCAAATAAAGTGCTTAGTAAAAATAAAATGCTTAATATCCAGATAAAGTGCTTAGTAAATCAATACCATAGGAAATAATTGACATTCCAATCAATGAATAAATAATTATTAATGTCCAGATAAAGGAATCATAATATATAATAGTCCCAATAAATGTTAGTGATTCAGATATGAACTAATAAATCTTGTTATTCCAGTGGCATATAAACAAATATTCCGGTGACGTGCGGGGTATGGTAAAAATGCACACTCACCAGATGAGCATTTTAAATGCGCAGTGTATTAATATGTTGTCAGCCAGAGGTCCCCTTTAAGGTGGGATGGAATACAGCCTGATATGGATATCCCTCCTCTGGACACTGGGATGGTCACCTGGGTTCCTGGAGATTTAAAGGCTCCCTCCCACAGCTCCGTCTGTCCCCGGCTCAATGGCTTCCCTCTCATCCTGCACTCAGATCGGTGCCAACTTGCAGCCCATGAGCGGATCAGCCACAGACTACAACTCCCAGCAGGCACTCTAGGAGAATGCAAAACCCCTGACCTCTGTCTGGACAGTGCTGATTGGCCCTGTACTGATCACATGCACTCTCCCAAAAAAAGAAAAAAACATCTCTAGCAATACACACTAAACTGAGCATGTGCATAAGTGCTGCAGGTTCAGTCTGTCTTATCAGGAGATAAGACATGGACATTTGAACAAGAGCAGGGGCAGAGAAGACAGGATCAAACAAACTTTTTACACAGTGCAGAGGATTAACCCCTTTGGTTCCACAGTGAGTATAACAGGCATGCTTTACTGCATATACAGACTGAGTATACTGTTGTGGGTTTAGTAATACTTAAAGGGTAATAAAGGAATGAGGAGTATAAAACTCATTCATTGTGCAGCCTCAGGGTATCCGATCTACGGGCACAAATCATCCCCTCCCTCTGTTACCCTTATTGTGTCTGCCATCTGTGTCTGCAAGCAAGAATTGCAGTGACGAGGCGATTACTTGAAGACATTTGCTGCATTCTATTCAAAAAGTGTAGAAGTGTATCATTCTATACTTAAAGCAGAACTTCACTGCATCTGAGCACCACGAACCAAAACTGCAATTTATTTTGTTGAGAAATCACTTTGAAAGACACCCCCTAGCATTTCTAACTCTGGCCATCTTGAATAAGGGTAGATGATTCATGTAGCATTTATTTCCTGGAATCCATCTGCCCTTAGCTTAGGCATGCAGGCAGGTGGATGAGCTTCCAAAACCCCTCCTCCCCACCTGAAGACTCCTGGGATATATGACATCATTTGCCTAGGCATGAAACCAGGAAGTAACAGAAGAAATGTAAACAAAAAACTGTAAATATGATATATTTTCCTATTTATTTACTCGTGCTAGCAGCATAAGCATTAAAAGTAGTCAATGTTGATTGAGAGAGGGAAGTAACACTTTAAGTTTCCCAAAGAAATCAGAGCCATCCTCCCAGCCAATTATTGTCAGATTAGGATAAAGATTGAAGTCTCTTTGTTCGGAGAGAAATCTGTTAACAACACTTCACAATACTTTATTTGGTAAAAGATGAAGTGATTTAGGACATCCAGCAGAAAATGAACATGTTTCGGTCGAAGCCTTAAGCTGTGCATACAATAATAGAATTCCAAAATAAAATTTGCATGAAAATTCTTAGGAAAAATTGTACAAAATTTCTCAGTACATGCAAATTTTGTTTGAAAGTAGTTCAGGATTTCACTTGCTTTTAACATTTGATTTTGGATTATGTCCACAAGGCATATGTCACGTACCTGATAGAAGTCTGAATTGACGAGGTCAGCCTCTCTTGTATCTCCAACCCAGTCCCCACTGAAGGTGGAACAGATGGTGCCGATGGACAGGAAAACACAAGTGCCTGTGGATATTGATTGTGGAACTTGCGGCTGGTGACGGGCATCCAGTCAGGAACAGAGGAGATGCCGGAATGGCAAGCTGAAGTTAAGGAAGCACTCCACTGGAACTGCAAGATCTGGGTATGTGGCTTGCCGGAACTTCTGATAGGCGTGAGGCCGGAACACACCGTGACAACCGGAGCTGATGTAATGACAAACAGGACAGGCACTCGGCAGGACTGTAGAGCCAAAACTGGAACCGGAAGCATTGTCAGAGTAATAGCCAGGGTCAGCAAGGAGCAGGCGATGAGGTACCGAAACATCAGACAGGGACAAGGTCAGGAGGAAGCCAGGATCAGAAACCAATGAGCAGAGGCATAAACAGGATCCAAGAGCAGGTCAAGGGCAAGCCGGGTCAGTAACTGATAACACACAGAATACAGCAGGAAACAGGAAGTTAGCTGAAGACCAGTCAGCACTGACAGAGAGTAAGAGGCTCCTTTAAATAGTCTGTCTGTCTCCCGCGTGTGTGCACCCGTGTGCGCGCATTCTTGCGCACATGCTTGAGCCTATGCTCATTTCTATTAGCCAGTTGCCGTACAGGAATTCCCTTACAGCATATCCCAGCAATACCAATACAGATTATAAAATTACATGAAACACTTCATTTACAGACTATTAAAACTGTATATCAAGTTGTAATATTAGTCACAAATAAAAGTACATGTTGCTGGGATGATGATCATATATACTGTGTATACTATTTTTTGACCTGTAGGGGGAGCATGGTGTGAAGTTTTACCTGTGTACCATGTATTCTTTTATGTTTCCACTAGAGGGCATATAGGATACACAGGTGATAATGAAATAAAAAATTACTTTTTACATTTTATTTATTATTAGTATTTCATTGCATATAATAGTGAGTTTTTTTAGCTTTCACATTTGGTACATGGTGGCCTTTAGAGTTTTTGAGTGTTGTGTTCCATCATTCCAGCCATAATATAAACAGTTGTCTCTGATGTTGGGTGGAGTATCTGATCTGTGATGTCATCGCATACTCCAGCCGGACCTGCGGCAGTGTTTGCTTATGGTTTTAAACTGCGTTACATGGCAGTCGCTGCAGTTTTTTATGAGTAGTTTTTTCAGTGAATAAACTGGAATATGTTTGATTACTAAACTATGGGCTCTGCCCTGTTGTTTGTTCTGTCTTACTGATGTCTGTTGTATGCCAGGGAGCCTGAATGGTGGATGAGACATTGTTTACATTCTGCTGACACTTGCTGGGTGTAGTGTGACCAGGAAACACCATAGCTGTGTTACAGCCAGGCATCATTTGATCTCGCTGAATTGAGATCTTCTATTTCAGTAAGAGGCAGTGGAGCACTTGGGTGGAGTACTTTCACATATGTTGAAGTTTGCTTTGGTGCACCGAAGGTGACAAGTACATCTTTGCAGTGGAAGATTTTAACCAATAGAGGACTGCTACAGGGCAGCCCGCACTGTGAAAAAAAAATGTAACTATATGAGATTTTGCATTTTCAGTTAGGGAGGGCATGCGGGGATGCGTGCCACCCTACCTGCGCTATCATTGGCTCCCAAAAACGTCAATCACTGGGTCCCAGCCTGCGATGCGTGGCTGAGACTCAGTGAAAGGCGGAGAAGTTGACAGGTGAGAGATCTGTGTGTAAACAACACAGGTCTCTCTCCTGTCAGCGGGGACATGCAGCTTTCTATCTCTCTGCAAAGAGTAAAATACCACACAGTAAGCACAAAACAGTACACAGTTAACCCTTTGATCGCCCCAGGTGTTAACCCCTTCCTGCCCAGTGTCATTAGTACAGTGTCAGTGCTTTTTATTAGCACTGATCACTGTGTTAGTGTCACTGGAGATGTCAGTGGCAGTTAGTCATTTCCCATCCAGTGTCAGTTAGTGTCAGAATGCCCGCCGCAGTCCCTCTATAAGTCGCTGATCACCGCCATTACCAGTATTAGAAAAAAACAAAACTAATTCCAGTATATATGCCGCCATTTGTAGAAGCTATAGTTTTCGTATAAACCATTTAATGTACACTTATTTGGATTTTTCTTTACCAAAGACATGTAGCAGAATACATTTTGGCCTACATTTATGAAGACATTTTATTTTTTTTAGGTTGTGTTTTATAACAAAAAGTTAACAATAATGTTTTTTTTTCCAATTTGTCAGTCTTTTTGTTTAAAGTGCAAACAATTTAAAATGCAGAGGCTATCAAATACCACCAAAAGAAACCTCCATTTGTGGGAAAAAAATGACATAACCTTCATTTATTTACAGCGTTGCATGACGGCGCTATTGTCAGTTGAAGTGGTTCTAAAGGCTCAAGGTGTTTTACGTTCATGCATTCTATGTATGGAGGTAAAAAACTTCTCTGTGCAGCATCCCCCCTCCCCCAACTCCCCCTATTACTTACCTAAGCCTCCTCTCAATCTGGCAATTTGATCTGGAGTCTCGGCTATCCCAGGACTCCCTTTCCTCATTGGCTGAGACAGAAGTGGGAGCCATTGGCTCCCACTGCTGTCAATCACAGCCAGTCAGCCAATGAGAAGAGAGAGGGGGCATGGCTGAGCTGCGAATCTATGTGTGAATGAATACAATAAGCAGTGGGTGCCCCCATTGCAAGCTGCTTGCTGTGGGGGCACCCAACAGGATGGGGGCCAGGAGTGCCAGCTTGGGACCCCAGAAGAGGAGGATCAGGGCTGCTCTGTGCAAAACCACTGCACACAGCAGGTAAGTATGACATGTTTTTGTTTAAAAAAAATAAAATAAATAAGCCTTTAGAATCACTTTAAAGTAACGCAGCGTATCTCAAAAAATGGTCATGAAGGGGGGTAAATCTTCCGGAGTGCCAAGTGGTTAAAAAAAGTTTGAACTTAATAATTATATATGCATTTATTGTTGCACCAGCTTTATATTTTTTCATTTGTATATATATTTTTTATATTTTTCATTTTTGATGTGAAACTGAAAGTTAATAAGTGCATCTATTTTGTATCTGCTTATGTATTGCCGTTTAAGTGTTCCAAAGTTGTAAGTTGCAGTTGTTATTTGTTATTTTATACTTATTGCAGGTTTTTTTTTAATCTTTGTACAGTATAACATTACTGTTCAGTAATAAAAAAAAATGACTTTTCATTGTGTTTGGATGATCTCTATACCAAAGAAAAGCAACAAATGCACCCAGAGTTCAGTCAAAATCAGTGCAGTAGATTGGATTTCTGTAAAGTACAAAGTGCAGGGCTGTCCTACATGGAGTGGAGAATTAGAAAAAGCACACCAGATAAACTACTAATGTCACATTAGTATTGTAATGTGATGTCTCTTTACTAAGTGGATCCCCTTGGATCGCCCATTAGCTTTCATACATTATGTAGGATATCGGGTTCATGTAGCTACAGTGGTCATTAATTTCAATAATGAGAGCCATAAAGAGCTGCACATAATGGTCACTTACCTGATAGCAACAGCTATTATAGCAAATAAAAATGCTTTATACCTTAATGAATTTGGCCTAAAGTCTCACATAAAAAACACATGAAAACACCAAAACATGCTACACTTACACAAAAGGGAAAAAACAGACACATATACAGTATAGTTAGAGTATATACAGTATGTATACACTAATATATTGAAACAGTTGCAAACTTGTTTTTTTTTATTTTATTTAAATATTAGCTAAATATGTATACTGCAAATCAAATGATATTTTACGCTTAGCCTACAACAGTGTACATGGAAAGTTTGAGGAACTTTTGAGTTTTTATAATAAAAGAACAAATTTCAAGGAGTTGAGACTGCATTTATTTTTTGACTTCCCTGGTACATTTATACACTTATCCCAGCATTTAACTAGTGAAAAAGATTTATCAGTACGCCCGAACCATCCTAGGACAGCCTGCTTCAGTCCGTCATCATTGTGT